ATTTTTAATTTTTTTTAGAGATGGGGTTTCACTATATTGCCCAGGCTGGTCTCAAATTCCTGGGCTCAAGCCATCCTGTGCCTCCCCAAGTTCTGGGATTATAGGTGTGAGCCAATGCCCCTGGCCTAGAATCAGTTATTCTGGCATCAACCTTCATCCCCCTATTCAAGCCATGTGAACCCTTCACCTGGACATCACCACAGCCTGAGGTTTCCATTGGCCCCTACCTGGTGTGTTCTCTACGTTGAGCATAGACATTCCAAAACACTGATTTGATGATGTCCTCTCCTTCCTTAAAGTGATGTCATAGATTCCCAAGGCAAAGGCCCAGACCCTTAAGGCCCCACCTGGCTGCCTAGTCTCAGATGGTGCCCCCCTAGCTGTTTTCTGTTCAGTGACTGCCTCATTTTTCCAGCTGCACACATTGCAGTGCCTGTCCTGCTCCAGGACATTTGCCAGGACTTCTGTCTGGAATGTCTGTCCCCTGCTTCACACAGCTAAGTCTTTAGCCTTGAGATATCAGCTCACCTTATCATGTACCTGAGGGAGCCTCAGACCCCAACCCCAGCCAGGTGAAAACCCTGTTCTGTACTTCCAGGGTGAAGTGAGCCTTGGCTTTGCAGCACTTCTCACCATGGCAACTTCACTTTGGTGTGTGCACTTGTCTGATTCAGGTGACAGGCAGCTCCGCCAGGTCGGGAAATACATATGCTCCTGCTCCTCACCGTGACTCCTCTACCAAGCACCCAAGTTCCCTCAAAATGTTTGCTGAAGGAATACACAAGCACTTAAGCGACACCCCTGGGAAGCATGGCAGGTGCCTACATGGTTTGAGGGTTTTGTTCATTACTGGTGCTTTCCCTGCACTTCCCCAACTGGTGGACAAGTTTGAGTTTGCAGTATTACTAGTATTTCATTTTTACACAGGAGAGAGTGCAGATGCAGCCCCTCTCAGCCACAAACCATGCAGTTTCTGCATATATAGGTTTCAAATATCTGGGAAAACCGTGCGGATCAACAGACCCAGCATGCAATCCATGTCTCACCCTGAGAAAACCCTCTTTGTGATCAGGGCATCTCCTCTGCCAGGTGCGAGTCTGAACCCTGCAGGTGCTTTTCCACGGGCTGCTGCTGACCTCTGTGCCACAGGAAACAGAGGAGCCTTTGGGAAATCGCACAAAATAGAGACAGGGCAGGAGAAGCTGGAGTGTGCTGGCCACACATACCAACTGCAAATGGAAGGTGTTCATGGATGGGTGTCAGGTGAATCTGGGGACAAATAAAGCTGGCCACATAAACTGAGCGGTGAATCAAGGAGGTTTCCAAATGAACACCTGTGAAGGAGGCAGAGGAGGGCAGGGGTGTGAGCCCTGGTGTGTGCTGTTATCATCCAGCTCTGTGTCCCTTCTGGAGCGGGGCTGGACTTACACCTTCCCATACTCTTTGATGCTCCAACATTGTCTGGAGTCGAACCAGAAATGTGTTCTTAAAAAAGGCAAGAAGAGTGAAGTAATGTTTCCCTGGAAAAAGTTCACATGGGACCTCATGACTTTCACAAATTCATCTTCCAGGTAAGGAGAGGCTGAAGGACAGAGACACCTGAGCACAGCCCTTTATCCAGACCAACCATCCAGCCCACAAAGTCACCTGTGGCAGGTGGCAAACAAGTTCGGGTCCACACCTGTGTGTGCTTCTCCGCCTTCTTGCCTGCTGTACAAGAGGCCCAGCCCCCTTCTGGAAGGTCCTGACATCTTCCACAATCCAAACCTGCCAGAATCCACAGCCTGTCCCCTGTGCCTGCCCTCAGCCCCCTGTCCCTGCCCCCAGTGTTAACCAGAGGTCAGCGGGGCAGAAAGGCCTGGCAATGTCAAATACTGGCTTCCGAAGCCGTGATACTGCTTTGATTCTCTCTGCAGAGCACTGGGCTGGCTTGGATGGATGCCCTGTGTACGCCAGCTGCGGTGATGGTGCCTTTGTCTGGGCATGGGGAGCTGTGATTTATGTCATAAGCTCGCTGTGAAACCTTTTGCCTCAGTAATTCCGTGCTCCATGGGTGTCTCTTTACATCTATTCACAGTACGGCTGCTGCCCACGGACGACGTGCCCTGTGACAGTGCTGGTGCCTCTGCGCCCGCCTCGCTATGGTGCCCGTGTGGTGCCTGCCCAGCATCTTTGTGGCCAGCTGCAGCATCTGTTGGGTCCATTGCTTTGATGTCGCATATGATTAGGTGCCATCCCTGGAGGAATGCTTGCAGGGAGACTAGGTGGAGGAAGAGGCTGCCTCCAGCTTTCCAGAGTGGTTTGCTTTGGCTGTGGGGACCAGACTAGAACATTACAGGCACTGCTGCCTTTGCTTAAGGGATTCTTAGCATGGAGAACGCATTCTCATCCACCATCTACTCCTGGCCAGGTGTGGGTGTACCCACTGGATGTTTCGGGGGATCCCAGCACAAAGAGGTGGAATCCTCATTTCCAAAGATTTAATGCAGACCATGAGCCTAGAGTGGCTTGAATCCCTTTCATTCATTCAACAAACACTGATGGAAGGTTGCGCTTGCAGGTGCTATGTGCAGGGAAGCAGTGGTGGGCAATGCTTTTTTGGTGAAAGCCTCGAGGTATTAAGATTTCTCAAGAAAACTCCAATTCCTTCCAGGATGGTAGGAACTGATTCCTTGTCAAGCACTTCTCAAGGCTTCTTGGCCTCCAGCTATAACAAACTGTCCCCCAAACCTAAACCTGCCCACGACCTGAATGGAGGATGAGCTGTGCCGCTGACTGACCCCATTCCTGTGTGGCTGACATAGTGCTGGGAATCCCATCCCAGAACAGGGCCCCTGAGCACCTGGAGAGGAGGCACTGTGTTTTGCCCAAATCTGAAGCCAGGGCAGGGTAATTCCTACAGCCTTGGAGGCAGAGTCCAGGGCTCAGAGGTCTTGTTCCAAGAAATGCCAGTGGGGCTGCCCCTAGGACTTGAAAGCCTGGTCGGAGAGCACTCAAACTGAAATAATTTCAAGGCTAACAAAGGATTACTTCTAGTCACTACTGAAATACAGGGACTCCTTTTTTTTAAAATTTAAAATAAATTACCCCATTCTGCCCTGGAGAAGTAAATCAGAAAAAAAAAATTGCCCCCCAGATATTTTCCCCTTGTGACCCATCCTGCAAAGTTTGTTTTCTCTTTGCATTCCTTTTTTTTTTTTTTTTTGGAGACAGGGTGCTCAGCCACCAGGGCTGGAGTGCAGTATTGCTATCACAGCGAACTGCAGCCTCCACCTCCTGGGTTTAGGCAATCCTCGTGCCTCAGCCTCCTTAGTAGCTGGGACTACAGGTCCATGCCACCATGCTCAGCTAATTAAAAATTTTTTTAAATTTATTTATTTATTTATATTTAGAGCTAGAGTCCTGCTATGTTGCCCAGGCTGGTCTTGAACTCCTGGACGAAAGAGATCCTCCTGCTTCAGGCTCCCAAATGTTGGGATTACAGGTGTGAGTTACCATGCCTGGCCTCTTTCCATTCCTTATGCAGTTTCAAATGAAAGAGTTGAAGAGTGCATTGGTTTAATGCAGACATAATGTGCCTGGGAAGGGCAGTGGGTGAGTCTTGTTTCCATGTTATAAGTTGATGAACTAAGCCTGCTAATAGTGGGAAACATTAAAATGTAAATTATAAATATAAAAGGTAGCAGTCACAACATAAAAACACTAGCATTTCTTCCTTTCCAGGAGTCTACCATATTGAAATCACTGCATTAGTGGAGCACCACAAGACATTTCCCAGGGCACAGGGAGACAGCATAGGGAAAGTCCCACCCTGTCTGGCAAGTAAGGAAACATTTGGGGAGCTGTCTTGGGGGATTTTCTAACCTTTCCTAGACACAGTCTTTTTGTTGAGACAGAATTTTGCTCTTGTAGCCCAGGCTGGAGCACAGTGGCATCTGAACGCTTCTATAGTGCAAAGTTATCATTTGAGAGAAATGTGTGAATCTCAGTTCTTGATGGTTTAGACCACTGAGAACACTGTCCTTTTGAATATTAGCTTTTCAGTTATTTGTTCAAAACTGATCAGGCCAAAATATGTCTCATGCCTGTACGTGATGAGCCTTGGTTGATGGAGATAACTTTCCAATTAAACACACCCAGTCATTGTAAATTTCAAATTTACACCTCATGGAATGACTTCCCTTCGATGAAGTCGTTTGGGGAGGACAACCTCTTACTGCAACCAATATTTTGGAAACATGTTCGGTCTTTTGGGTGTTTTCTAAGGTGACAAATCTTTATTCTTTATCATTATTATCTCAGGGTAGATCTGACAGGTGGGATAAGGGATGAGTTGCTGAGAGTCAAGTCTGCAAGGCTGAGCCAGCAGAACGGGGGTCAGGTACCAACACTGCGGTGACCTAGACAGGGGACTGTGCCTGGCTGAGACCCAGGCAGAGGGAGAACGTCACCTGCCTCTCGTGTTTCACAGCAATGTGGTGAAGACCGAATGAGAGAAGTCTGCAAACCTGCGAAGCGCTGTCATTAACAAGGTGGGTGATCACATTGGGTAATTTCGTTTCAGATCAAACTCCAGATGCGACAAGAGACTGATTTTCATCGTTCTGAAAATTACACCTAAAGATGAGCTGCCAAAACATTGTGAGCTCTGACTGCATCATCGAAATAAGCCCCTGGCGTCCGTCCCCAGGTGACTCCTCTGAAAGGATGCATTCTTGACATGCAAACCCTTAATTCTCTAGCGGCTCTAACCAGAAGGCTTCTAGGACCCGCTCCTCAAGGTGGGGTTCCAGGACCAGCAGCCTAAGCCCCACCTGGGAGCTTGTTAGCAATGCAGCCTCTCCCACCCCAGACCCGCTGAGCAGATTCTGCATTTTCACACGTCCCCAGGGGTGCCTGGGCCATTAGTTTGAGAGTGCAACATGCAACCCGGCTCCCAGGCAGGTGACTGCGTGGCAAAGCTCCAGGGCACGTGCCAGCCCGGCCGGGTCCTGGCTTACCTTGGGGAAGGCGTCGGGCCACACGGTGGGCGAGCCGTGGTTGAGCAGCGCCTGCACCGTGCGCTGCGGGGCGGCCTGGGGCGCGCAGGTGGCGGTCTGCAGCACGCGGGCCAGCGGCGAGGCCCCGCCATAGTCCAGCGCGCCCGCGTCGGCGCCGTGCCGCAGCAGGAGGCGCACCAGGCCGTGGCTCGCGTGGCTGCAGGCCTTGTGCAGAGGGCTGCGCTCGTCCTCGTCACGCGTGTCAGCCGCCGCCCCGTGCCGCAGCAGCAGCGCGCACAGGCGCAGGCAGCGCCCCTGCTCGTCGGGCCTCCGGGTAGCCCCGCAGGCCGCGCTCAGGGCCGTCTCCTTGCGGCTGTTCCTCGCGTTCACGCGTGCCCCGCGGCCCAGGTAGAGGCGCGCGTGCTCGTCCAGGCCGTGCTGCGCCGCCACGTGCAGCGGCGTGTCCAGGCCAGTGCCGCCTGCGCGCTGCACCGAGGCCCCGTGCTCCAGCAGCGCCTGCGCGCACCTGCGGGAGGCCAGGGCCGGTCACCAGGACGCCCCGGAGGACGCCCGCACCCCGCCGCCCCTGGCCTGCTGCTCCACAATATCAAGAGTGACCTCTGAAATAAAAAGACATGCTCCATTCTCCCGTACCAAGGCTCTGGGAATTCAAACTAACCTGGGGGAGAAAAAGATTTTATAGCAAAACCAGTTCCCAAGTGGTAAAAATAGCCAAAGACATGTCATAAAAATCCATGTGCAGAGTTAACATTTTTTTTTTGAGACTGAGTCTCCCTCTGTCTCCCAGGCTGGAGTCAGTGGCATAAACTCGGCTCACTGCAACCTGCCTCATGGGTTCAAGCGATTCTCCTGCCTCAGCCTCTTGGGTAGCTGGCACTACAGGCATGCCACCATGCCTAGCTGATTTTTGTGTGCGTGTGTGTGTATGTGTATATTTTTAGTAGAGACAGGGTTTCACTACATTGACCAGGCTGGTCTCGAACTCCTGACCTCGTGATCCGCCTGCCTTGGCTTCCCAAAGTACTGGGGTTACAGGTGTGAACCATTCACTGTGCCTGGCCCAGAGTTAACAGTTCATGGGGAAATCGTAATTGCTTGGAGCTACCCTGGGAATGTGATGTCGTTCAAATGACAGAGCTCCATGCACTGATTACCTGGGCTTTCTGTTACACCCGGAAGTTAAGGGTTTGGCAGTCACAGTTCTAGGGAGAGGTCCTTGGGGGTCATACTCTTTCCCGGCCCCCATGTAGCTCTGCTGGAACTTGCTCAGCTTTGTGAGGGTGTAGGCAAGCCTTGCCTTGCACGAAGGGACTTTCCCCATCCCACAGGGCACTGACTCAGGCTGGCACTGATCTGTCCTCTGACAGTGCGGGAAGCATTAGGTGGAAAGCACGCCGTGCCCTGTAGTGAGCCTACCTGTGCTCCAACCAGACTGTCCTTGGACAGACTGGATATTGGCTGCACCCACGTTCCCCAGTGGTCTCCAGGAGTTTCTAGACTCCATGGGAGCCTGTGGTCTCCCCCAGAGGTGAGTGTCTTCCTTCTGCTGCCTCCAGGAGCATGACTCTCCTCTACCCCAGGCACCAACTCTTCCTCAGAGCCTCTCCCATCTCCTGCAGGCTCTCTAAACTAGCTCAGCCTAGACTCAGATACCTGGTGAGAAGTGTGCCTCAGCCTGGAAGCAGGAAGACAGTCATACAGACCTCCCCGCTCTGCTGGTCCTTGTCCTTCATGGACACTGAAAAACACAAGCCCACTCCCACCTTCAGCCACCTGCTCCCACAGTCACCTGCCATCGATAAGGCGGCTCCAGCCTTGGAAGTCTGCAAACATGCCGACTTCAGACCACAGCCTGGTCCCTCCCCAATGCCTGTTGGTCTACTCGCCATCTTTGCTCTGTGGAGAGCTGAGCCCTGGACGCCTTGTTTCTCTCAACCCCTCCTGGCTTCATTTCCTTTCCTGGGCAGCACTGCAGCCACCTCCTCATCTACATTGTCAGTTCCCTTGAATGGAGGGGACCATGGCCATCCGCTGCTCAAATGGCTGGTCTTCAAGCCAGAGTGCATTCTTTTTTTTTTTTTAAAGATGGGGTTTCACCATGATGGCCAGGCTGGTCTTGAACTCCTGACCTCAGGTGATCCACCCACCTCGGCCTCCCAAAGTGCTGGGATTACAGGTGTGAGCCACCGTGCCAAGCCCCAGAGTCCATTCTTTGCCCCGCTCCTCTTCTCTGCCGGGCTGCTGAGCCCTGTTGGAGGATGCAGCGCTCATGGAGCTGGCCTTGGTCTCGATGGGGCCTCAGTTAACTGACGCTTTCAGAGTTAAGGCCACCTCCTCATGCCTTGCTCTTCACTAACCACTCCTGACGTTGACTATTGTCCTCAGGCCTCCGCCCTCTTGCCACCATCCTCCCTCTCAACTGTACACTGGCTTCATTCAGGGTGCGGCTCCCAGGAACTCCCTCACCTGCCTGCCTTCTGCAACACATCTGTTTCAACACTGAGTAGAATCTGTTTTGACAACTACTGTTGCCTCCCTCTTCCCCACACCTAAGGAAGGCCCTCCCTCTCCATCATCTTGGCCCAGAGTCAGTCCTCTTTGGCTTCTTTGGGGTCTTGCTCTAGATGACTTGATCCTTGCCATTTTCCTGTCCTTCTGTTCCCCTGCCCCATTTCGACTGGTCACTGAGCTGTTCTGGGTCCATCTCATGTCCTGAACTGCTTATTCCTGTTGTCACTGTCCTTTGTTGAGGCCATGTCGTTTCTCTGAATGCTTATGAATCTCTTCATTTGCCCCTTGCTGCAATCTAGCAAGCTGCATACTGCCTGGAAAACACCTTTCCAGTATGAATCAGACATGGGCCTTCTGACAGCGCCACCGCTCCCCCTGCCTGCTGGGCGAAGCCCACGCTACTCTCCCCAGGACCCAGGACACAGCATGATGCAGTTCCTGGGGGCCTCACCGGGTTCACTTCGTGAGGCTCCACCTCTCCATGCTTCAATTCTACCTGATCAGGTGTGGTGCTGAGAGTGCACCCTGCCATGCCATGCCCACATGCCCTCTGCTTGCTCCTTCCAGGTTGCCCACTGCACGCGATGGCCCACATAGTCCCGTCTTTCCTTCCTGTGCCACCAGGCAGAGGGCTCATACCTCTGTGTTGTCATGTGCCTTGCACTGTGTGCCCAGGCACCATGTTGGTCATGCCGTATTTCCAATATGTGTTGGGCTGGGGGCAGTGGCTCATGCCTGTAATCTCAGCACTTTGGGAGGCTGAGCGAGTGGATCACCTGAGGTCAGGAGTTTGAGACCAGCATGGCCAACATGTTGAAACCCCATCTCTACTAAAAATACAAAATTAGCCAGGTGTGGTGGTGCACGCATGTAATCCCTGATGCTCAGGAGGCCGAGGCAGGAGATTGAATCTGGAGGCAGAGGTTGCAGTGAGCTGAGATCGTGCCACTGCATTCCAGCCTGGGTGACAGAGCAAGAATCTGTCTCAAAAAAAAAAAAAAAAGAATTCTTGGCACCTTTAACTCCTTGATTGTAGAATTGGAGGTTTTGTTTATCTCTGATTCCTGGTACCTATCACACTACTGGTATTCCCTAAAAGCATGTTGAACAAACATATTCCATCACTTAACATCTTTCAGCTTTTCTTTACGTTGCCGCTGCTTTTCCTATTGTATTGAGCTAACTGGGTCTCTGAACAAGATCATCCATTGAGGGTTTCCGAGCTGCCCTTAAATCCAAATATATATATATATATATATATATACTTTTTTTTTTTTTGAGATGGAGTCTCGCTCTGTTGCCCAGGCTGGAGTGCAATGGTGCACCCTTGGCTCACTGCAACCTCCGCCTCCTGGGTTCAAGCAATTCTCTTACCTTAGCCTCCCAAGTAGCTGGGATTATAGGTGCATGCCACGATGCCCAGCTAGTTTTTGTATTTTTAAGTAGAAATGGAGTTTCACCATGTTGGTCAGACTGGTCTCCAACCCCTGACCTCATGATCCGCCTACCTCACCTCCCAAAGTGCTGGGATTACAGGCTTGAGCCACCGTGCCTGGCAATCCATTTATATTTTTACCTAGAGGCTCTCAGTGTTTTAAATTCTCCCTTTGGATTGTCTAGTTTCTACACCAGCAGTGTCTTGGGAAGTGTCTGTCTTGAGTGAAAGATCTTTACAAGCAAGTACAGTTTGATGTGGAGTCCTGTGGGACCAGGACTGGCTAATAGAGGGTGCACATTTTACAGTCACAGGGCTTCGCTTTGCTGCTACTGCTTCTCTGGGAGGAATTTTGAACAGTGCAGCAGGAGATTAGAAATCAAGGGTTTCATCTTATTTTGCCACTGAGCCTGTGTGCACTTGCAAACAATTACAAAACATTTTCTTCTTTTAAACAATTCTTTTTTTAAGAAGCTCAGTCTCTCTAAAGAAGTCCGCAGGAAAATATGACCAGTCCCCTTTTCCACATGCACAGCATAACTGGCTAATGGCCAGGCTGCTATCTGCAACACAGATAACTTTCAGAGGAATGAGGACACTGGCCCGCCTTCTGGAGGGCTGCAGATGCCCTTTTCATTTTTAATGAAGAGCTTCTAATTGGCTAAACCTTGGCACGATTTTAGAGTGGGCAGTGGTGTAAGTTGCAGAACTATAGGCACGGGAAAGAAACAACAAATTGACTGGGGCACGTCTCTGCTGGGGCACAGTGGCAGTCATTAAAAGGAAGGTGAGAGCCTGTTTAATGGCATGGAGATGGATTTGCAGTGGATACGTGAACAGATCGGGTTACACAATAGCACCACTGTACAGGTCCATTTTGAAAAGGCGTAAATATACCTATGTGTATAGGAATACCAGAAATTTTTATTTTTAATTGATTTTAATTTTTTAGAGACAGGGGCTTGCTGTCTCTATCCTGGAGTGTAGTGGCGTGATCATGGCTCACTGCAGCCTTGAACTTCTGGGCTCTAGCAATCCTCCTGCCCCAGTCTCCTGAGTAGCTGGGATTAAAGCTGAGGGCCCCCATGCTCGGCTGATTTTTCTGTTTTATTTTTGTATTGATGGGGTCTTGCTGTGTTTCCCAGGCTGCTCTCAAACTCCTGGGCTTAAGTAATCCTCCTGCCTTGGCCTCTCAAAGCATTGAGATTACAGGCATGAGCCACTATGCCCTGCCAAAAAAACCTAGAAACTGAGAGGGCATGTGTGTTTATCTCTGGATGATGGGGGTAGTGGGGTCTTCTGTTTCCTTTTTGCCTGCATGTATTTTTCAAATTTTCCAAAGTAAGGTGCAGTTTAATACAAGAACCACAGCAAAGGTAATTAATAACAAAACCATTTCTACCTGCTCCAGCAACATCTCATGGATTCTAAGAATATCCCTTTGGCTTTCCAGCTTCCCAGAACACTCTTGAAATTTCCATTGATCTGTTTAGGTATAAGCAGCATTTTGGACCATACATCTGGCAATGCCCCTGAGAAGGTGAGGAGAGGAGAGGGCTGAGCGGGCTGGGAGCCCATGAGAAGGTGAGGAGCGGAGAGGGCTGAGCTGGCTGGGAGCTACTTGGTGATAAGCAGAGAAGTGGAAAACAATTGTGGGGATCTCTCAGACCTGACCCCAGGACCCAGGACCATCCTTGAAACACTACCATTTCAATCCCTTGTATCAATGTCACCAGTGGCAGAAATGGTCCAGTGGGGAAAGCACACTGTCATTTCAGTGCTTTCTCTGTATCAGTGTCACCAGTGGAAGAGGAAATGCTCAGTAGGGAAGGCATCCCTTAAGCCTTTGCAGGCCTATGGGTGGGACCCAGCCTTAGCTGAGCCTTTGACTCCAAGGCAAGATTTTGTGAGTGGGTTTCCTGCTATCCTGATAGACAAGCCAAAGTCAGAAAGGCCTGGGGTCAGGGTTGAACAGTCACTGTTGGGATCCGAGGGTAGAATTCCCATCTGAGGATGTCAGAACAGCTTTGCCTTTTTCTTGCAAGGATTAAGGAGGCACCGTGTTGTCTCAGCAGCCTCTGATATGAAGCAGCTTGGACAAACACATTCATCCCTGGGTCCCTCTTCTCTGTCTTCGATAATGACTGCGATGACAGGCTGTTACAGGGGTCCAGGGTTGACAGCAGAAAGAAAAAGTAACTTGAGCCAAAAGGCAGCAGTTAATAGAGATGAACCCATCAAGGACTGTTGAATCAATGCCATTCCAATTCATGTCTACCGAGGGAGTGGGGGATGTGGAACTTCGGCCACTCCTTCAACACCCTCCCGTCCACCCTCCAGCGCCTCCCCAAGGCGCTGGCTTTTCCTAGTCCCCTCACAGGGCACAAGGCCTGACAGCCTCAGCCTGGGCTCTGTTCGCTCCTTCCTTTCCCCAGCTGTGTCACCCACCTGCTCCCACCTGCCTCACCTGCCTGCCAAGCCTTCATGCTCCCTGCACGCTCCATCCAGATGCTGCTTCTCAGCCAGAGCGTGTCCAGGCTTCCATTCTCTCATCTCTCCTGCCTCCTGATCACCCTCTTTATTCAAAGCCCTGGAAATGCTGCTTCTCTGCCTCCTGGTTCTGAATTAAAAAGGTCTTTTGGATTCCCCAGTACTTGGTAGTTTGTTTTTTTTTAAGATGGAGTCTCTGTCGCCCCAGCTGGAGTGCAGTGGCACGATCTCAGCTCACTGCAACCTCTGCGTCCTGGGTTCAAGCCATTCTCCTGCCTCAGCCTCCCAAGTAGCTGGGACTACAGGCACCTGCCACCACGCCCAGCTACCTTTTTTTTCTTAAACAAATATTTATCTTTAGTCTCTGCAACAACTTTGCATTGTAGGTAGAATTTACAGTTAGGGAAATTGAGGCTTAACAGGCCAGTGACATGCATAAGGCCATATGGCCAGGAAGTGGCAGAGCAGAACTCACTGCTCTGTGTGGCTTCCCAGTTGTCAGTCACACAGCCCCCTACTGCCCCCTCCACTGCCCCCTCCACTGCCCTCTCCACTTCCTCTTCCCACTGGTTCTGTTTGTTAAGCACCTTGTCTGAGGCAGGTTCTGTTCTAGGCATTTTCCATAAGTTATCACTGACCTTTTCATTCATTTGATAAGCAGAGAACATGCGCCATGTTCCTTTTGAGGCAGGGAGAAGTGTTTCTTCTTCTCCTTCTTCTTTTTGAGACAGAGTTTTGCTCTGTCACCCAGGCTGGAATGCAGTGGCGTGATCTCAGCTCACTGTAACCTCCACCTCCCGGGTTCTAGAGATTCTCCTGCCTCAGCCTCCCAAGTAGCTGGGACTACAGGCACATGCCACCATGCCTGGCTAATTTTTTGTATTTTTAGTAGAGACGGGGTTTTACCATGTTAGCCAGGATGGTCTTGATCTCCTGACCTCATGATCTGCCCTCCTTGGCCTCCCAAAGTGCTGGGATTATAGGTGTGAGCCACTGTGCCTGGCCTGTTTCTTTTATCATTCCACAGGAATTCCTGGACAGACTCACAGGACGCTGAAGGCAGGGCAGGGCGACCCATGGACCTTGTTCTATGGGGTGGCACAGTAACCGATTCTCACCCAGTCCTCCCAGCTACCTGGTGTGGCAGATGGCATCCTCCCTCATTTTTGGTGAGGAGTCCATCTGTGAGGGTTAAGTAGTGGTCTAAAGGGAGGGGACCTGCAGAGGATGGTGGCCTTGCAGTCAGTGTGTCCTGTTTGGGATATGAACTCCAGCCCCACTATCCAGTGGTGGATACAAGAACTCCACAGCCACCAAAAGATGATGCTGACTGAGCAATGCAATAATAACAACACGAACAACTGCTAAAAATAAGGCTGCATTCAGGACTCAAATGTCACTTTTTTTTTTTTTTTTTGGCGGGGAAAAGGACCTTGCTTGTGAACATTTGGTTGGAAACGTTAAGCATCTGGTATAGTTTGGCTGTGTCCCCACCCAAATCTCATCTTGAATTGTACTTCCATAATTCCCATGTGTTGTGGGAGGGACCCAGTGGGAGGTAATTGAATCATGGGGGTGATTTCCCCTATACTGTCCTCGTGGTAGTGAATAAGTCTCACGAGATCTGATGGTTTGATAAGGGGAACCCCTTTCACTTGGTTCTCCTTCTCTCTTTTGCTGCTGCCGTGTGAGACATGCCTTTCACCTTCCACCTCCCCTTATTGAACTGTAAGTCCAATAAACCGCTTTCTTTTGTAAATTGCCCAGTCTCAGATACGTCTTTATCAGCAGTGTAAAAATGGGCTAATACAGCTTATGTCTCCGGAACTCGCTGGAGTCCTTGGGCCATCCTGACCTCTCTATCCTGTTCTTGTCATGTGACTGCTGCTGGAATCCCTGCTGACAGACAGTGTGTGCAGTGGGGGTACTGGGTGTTATGAGCTTGTCTTGCTGAATTATTGTTACTGCTGCTTTTCCTCCTCAGACATGACACGGAGGCAGATGGGCCAGAGAGGCATCCCAGGGGAAGGGTGGCTGCTGGGTCCAAAGGCTGGGTCCAAGGATGAATGCTGGGCATGTGCCAGCCTGTGGGGGCAAGGTTGGGGGAGAGCCTTGGGAGGAAAACAGAGTCATGTTTTCTAATGAAGCTGCTGCAGAGAGGTTCCCTCCTATGGCTCTATGCCCCAGCTGACTCCAATGAAGGACGGGGAAGCCACAGCTCCACGATTTTGATGGAGGAGCTGTTCCACTTTATTTCCCTGGACCTTCTGCTGAGGCTCTCCTTTGGGGACCTTCCATCCACCTCCTTTCTGTTCTGCATTTTCTTCTCTCTCCCTTTCTCCTGTGATGCTAAGCTATGAGACTATTCAAACATAAACGTTTGCAATTGAAATGGCTGATGTGAACAGACAAATCCTTCAGGGTAGGAGGGCGACTGAGAGAGAAACGGACTGGCCATTTCTATCACCGTGATTTTCCTTGGAGCAAAACATCTTATGTTTTTCTGAAGTGTGATATGATTGTGGTGGATGATGATGTTTTGGGTAAATTCTCTCCCCATTGTAAATGGGACCTTGCACCTTGGCAAACTGAAAAATGATTTAGTGAACAAGATTTGTAAAGTCAGCTCCACTGTTTGCCCCATGATATAGTTCGGATATTTATTGCTGCTGAAATCTCATGTTGCAGTGTTATCCCCAATGTTGTGGGGGGCGGGGCCTGGTGGGAGGTGGTTGGATCATGGGGGTAGATTTCTCACTAATTGTTTGGCACCATCCCTTTGGTGCTCTCCTCACAATAGTGAGTTCATGGGTGACCTGGCTACTTAAAAGTGTGTGGCGGCCAGGTGTGGTGGCTCGCCCTTGTAATCCTAACACTTTGGGAGGCCAAGGTGGGTAGCTCACCCGAGGTCAGGAATTCGAGACCAGCCTGGCCAACATGGTGAAACCCCATCTCTACTAAAAATACAAAAATTAGCTGGGCATGGTGGCACACACCTGTAGCCCCAACTACTTGGGAAGCTGAGGTAGGAGAATCTCTTGATCCCTGGAGGCAGAGGTTGCAATGGGCTGAGAAGGCGCCACTGCACTCCAGCCTGGGCAACAAAGCGAGCCTCTGTCTCAAATAAAAAGTGTGTGGCACCTCCCACCCCTGCTCCTGCTTTCACTGTATGGTGTGCCTGCTTGCCCTTTGCCTTCTGCCATGAGTAAAAAGCTTCCTGAGGCCTCCCCAGAAGTAGATCGCAGCATTATGCTTCCTGTACAGCCTGCAGCACTGTGAGTCAAGTAAGCCTTTTTTCTTATAACTTTCCCAGTCTCAGGTATTTTTTTATAGCAGTGCAAGGATGGCCCAATACACCTCACATGCCCACTAAACAGCATCTGTCTTCCTGGAGGCTTCATTGGCGTCCCATCCTCAATAAGGCATGCATAACTGTTCTTTCTCTTTCCCTCATCCCCTGGTCCCAATATACTAGAAGAAGAGGAAGACCCAGTAGCATTGGCTTGAGAGAAAAGAAAAGGAAGAAATGGAAACGAAAAGACTCTATTGGCTTCTTAGACAGAGGTAAGGGTGAGGTGGGAGGAGCTTTTAAACTGGATGAGAGAAACATTTATGCATGTAGGTATGTCTGTATATTTTAATACAATATCTTCTGTGAGGTACGCACAGAAACACACAGATCTTACGAGCACAATGGAATGAATTTCAACAAAGGAAAATACCTTCGTAACCAATACCTCAATCAAGATGTAGAATATTTCCTTTTTGCCAGGCATTTCTCTTGTGTTTACCACCAGCTGGTCATAACCCCCACAGGCAACCACTGTGCTGATTTTTCTCATCCTGGGTTAATTTTGCATTTTCTAAAATGTTTCACCCTTTGTATCTGGCTTCTTTTGCTCTGCATCATGCTGCTCACATTCATCCATATTGTTGCATGCATGGAGTAATTCATTCTTCTTATATTGCTGAGTCATATTCAATTGTATAGATATACCATGATTTTTAAGCCATTTTCCCATTGCTATTGATAGACATTTGCATGTTTCTATTTTTTAACTATTATGAATAAAACTCTTATGAATGTTTTTGTATAAGTCTTCCTGGGGACATATGTTCTCATTTTTCATAGGTAAACAGCTAAAAATTGAATTGCTGGTAGGTATGTATTTAACTTTGTGAGAAACTACCAAACAGTCTTCCAAAGAGATATTTTGCTCACCCAAAACTATGTATGAGAGTTCTAGTTGCTCCCTGATCTTAGCAACATTTGGTGTTGTCAGGGTTTTCTTCAGCCATTCTAATGAATGTGAAATGGGGACTATTTCATTGTGGTTTAATTTGCATTTTCTTGATAGTTAATGATGTTGAGCACCTTTTCATTTGCTTATTGGTCATTTATATATTGTTCATAAAGTGTCTGATCAAGGCTTTTGCCCAGAGGGTAAAGTTTTGATTTGCTCTGGAGTGGCTTTTGGGTATTAAAATGGGACTTGGCAAGTGACCAGACAGCTGAGGAATGCGCCTTGGATGCCATCAAGGGGCAGGGAAGGGGACATACTTGTAACAGAGCATGTTTGAAGGGAGGTGGCCAGAGATAAGTGGAGCTATCTCTGATAGCTTCCTGATTATAGACAGTTTTTGGAAAAAACAAAACAAAACAAAACAAAAAACTGGAGTTCACAATGGAGAGGCAGTCTTTCAGCATTGTGTTCACAGCGTTTGGCTCTGGGTCTGGCTCTGCCGGTTTCTATTCGGTGCCACCGTACTGGCACAACATGGTCTCTCTCTGAGCCTCAGTTTTCTGATCTGTGTACCATGCCTTGCAGGCCTGAGAGACTCAGAGGAAATAAGACATTTGCAAATGCTCAGGAATGTGTGACATTCTGTAAATATTAAATCATCCATTGGGGGCCGCCTCTCTCTGACATCTCCTTCTTCAGTATTCCTCAAGATGCCTTAAGGTCCTATTGAACCAGGTCATGTTCTTCTCCTCTCTGCTTGATAACTGATCAGCCACTCACCTGGGATGTGGAAAGAGTGTATCATTTTCTGGATTATGTATCAATCCCTGTGAGCCTGTCATCTCAGGCAGGTGAATCTCCTGTTCTTAGGTGGAGACTACTGAGTTCCCCCACCCATAAGATAATTAGCTGCTTTTACAGTTGCAACTCCAGCTGATGAATCATTTTTTATTTTTATTTTCTGTAGACAGAAATAAATTTTTAAAGACAGAGTCTCACTCTGTCACTCAGGTTGGAGTGCAGTGGCGCGATCACGACTCACTGTAGCCTCGACTTCCTTTAGCCTCAACTTCCTGGGCTCAAGTGATCCTCCAGGCTCAGCCTCCCAATTAGCTGTGTGCCACCATGCTTTGCTAATTTTTGCAGAGATGGGGTCTCACCGTGTTGCCCAGCTGGTCTCGAACTCCTGGTCTCAAGTGATCCTCTAGCCTTGGCTTTCTAAAATGATGGGATTACAATCATGAGCCACTGTGCCCATATGAATTATTTTTTATTTAGTTGAATTAACATACCAGGGACAAGAAAGTAAACTTGCATGCTTTTCATTAATACGTTCCGTGAGGAAAGCACGTCATCCTAACTTTTGTTTAAATCAAGACAACTACAGACAAGAAAAAGAATAGGGCTTTAACACGTTCTTTTCTTATTTTAATTATCTCAGATGAAAACGGGTAAAGGAGAGGGATCTGATAATAAATAGGGCGAGGCTGGCATGCGGGCTACCAATGTGAACACAGTAACTTTACTGGAACTTTTCTTTTTGGGAAAATCTCTTCAAAAGGCTCCTAGATTAAAGCTCTGATATCCCTTTCAGTGTGTCGAATTCTGAATTCTGAAGCTTGCTGGTTGGAAGGAAGCACAGGTAATTTTTTTTTTTTAATCCCAGGAACTCAGAGACTCAAAGGTTTTAAAGTCCTGTGCCCATGGTGAATTGCCAGCTAAAAGGGGATGGAGCAGAACGGGGTCCCTAGGTGTGGAGACCATTGTCATCAAGAGTCAGGAAATGGAATGGCTCTGTATGTAGGTCAGCGACCCCCTCTCTACTGTGAGGGGAAAAAAATTAAGGATGACCTAAAATCTACTGTGTTTAAAAAGATTCCGGAGAAAGTAGCTCTTTCTTGTCAAAGTGATCATGTTTATACTACCCGAAGCCAGACCTCCTCAGAGTATAACTTTAGGGGACTCTTTAGAGCTGAAAAGCCATGGTCAAAACCTCAGGCCCTTTCGACATCTATTAACTTTTTATCCTTCAAGGCAGTTGGCTGTGTTATTGTAGAGGTGTTCAATGGGCCCTGCCGGCAGATTCCATTGTCATCACTGACACTGACGGGATTCTAAGTCAGCTCTTACAGAGTTCGGCCTGAAACACTGGTTTATTCATCACTTATCTTAAACTTTCCCCCAATAATCCAGATTTAAATAAGTCAAGACTGTGAAATGAAACAGCCAAAGGGAAAGAGTCCCATAGAGTGACACAGAGAAAATGAAACGAGAAAGAAGGGGGAAACAAGAGGAAGAGTCCCATAGAGTGACACAGAGAAAATGAAACGAGAAAGAAGAGGGAAACAAGGGAAAGAGTCCCATAGAGTGACACAGAGAAAATGAAACGAGAAAGAAGGGGGAAACAAGAGGAAGAGTCCCATAGAGTGACACAGAGAAAATGAAACGAGAAAGAAGGGGGAAACAAGAGGAAGAGTCCCATAGAGTGACACAGAGAAAATGAAACGAGAAAGAAGGGGGAAACAAGAGGAAGAGTCCCATAGAGTGACACAGAGAAAATGAAACGAGAAAGAAGGGGGAAACAAGAGGAAGAGTCCCATAGAGTGACACAGAGAAAATGAAACGAGAAAGAAGGGGGAAACAAGAGGAAGACAGAAGAAGAGATACTTTTAAAACCCCCACTTTAATAAAATGACATTTTAAAAAGTTCTTATTAAACAGTAGCCTGGGCCTGTATGAGTTTTGCAAAACCAATGAGGCCAGCATATTAGATTCTGTTCTACAGTGTGTAAGCTGAGTGGCTCTGGTGGTCTGCATACGGCCTCAGCTCCTTATGGTGTCCAAATGTAAGCTTGTTGGCCTCTCTTCAGTATTATAAAAGATTCACAATATTTTGTGCTCTGAGTGAGTGGGTGCTGCACTCACATTTCTTAGTAAGAAGCAATATTTTTCTGATCCTACAAAGCAGGAGAGGAATTGGGGACTGAGGTGTGAAGCAGACTTGGTTTTTAAAACCCTTTTTATCTTAAAATTATCTTAGATTTTTAGAGGTGTTGCAAAGATAGTAGAGAGAGTTTCTGGATGCCTCTCACCCAGCTTCCCTTAAAGCTAATAGCTAATATTATTATGGTTTATTTGTCAAAATGAAGAAATTAACATTGGTACAAGACTATTAACCAAACTGTTGACTTTATTTGGATTTTACCATGTTTCTCACTAATGTTCACATTCAGTTCTAGGGTCCAATGGCAGATACCATGTTGCATTTAAAGAACTTAATTTTGAACAAGAGAACAGTAAATGTAGTCACGCTTTTTGGTGAGGTGGGGAGGGAGGAAGGGTGAATACTCAGACTTGGAATGTCATCAGAGTTATATTTTTCCATAGGAACATGTTATAATGAAGAGTTGTGTTCTTGACTAAAGACATTATAGCAAGTAAATCGTAAGTGGCCAAAAACTATGGAGATAAAGGAAAGAAATAACAAGCCCCCAAATACATTTTAAATAGTAAAATATGATTTCAATTCCAATAAAAGAAAGGCAGTGATTAGACATGAGGCCCCAGCACTGCAGTCAGTGCCTACGTAATTCTTACTATATGCTAGGTGCTCTTCTCAGAAATGTAGGTAATTTATTTCATCCTCCAAACCATCCTACATGTAGGCTCAATTATAATCCCTATTTTACAAATGAGAGAGACACAGGAAAATTAAATAACTTGTCCAATCTTGCACAGCTAGTAAGTGTTGGAATTAGAAGGCAACCTGGGCCTCAAATGTGATAAAATATGTACATCTAGATGTAAAATTGTATGGTATGAAAATATGATCAAACTTGAATGCAATCAATGCACAATCGAATAAAATTTTGTCTGCTTTCTTAGTATGTGGACGACTTTTGCAATTGATTTGGTTGGCTTCTGTCCTTTGATAAAGCTGATGCTTCTTTCTGTCTTAGAAACCTTCTGGTAGAAATCCATCAGCCTCCCATTCTCAACCTCCATGCACACAATGTATTTGACATATTTCTGGCCCAATGTTTAGCACATTGCCATATCACTACCTTCCTCTTTCCTGAAGCTGCCAGGGCGTTGAGGGCAGGGACTATGTCTAATGCAGCTCAGCCTTGGCCCCTCACAGGGTTCAATAACTGGTGATTGAATGCTTGTAGGAATGGAGTCAATATTGGTTGACCTTGGAGGTGAGTGTTTCAAAATAAATGGAATGTCTACAATTTTGTCACAAGATGAAACCTTTCTACATCCCAGCGAATCATCTACCAGGTGAGTCAAGAACAAAAATTGGAAGTGAATGCAAGGTAGAAATTCATCCTTGCCTAATTAACAACTGGAAAGAAAACCTCCTGGTGGAAAGTGTAGGATGCCTGCAGCTAAGGACAGAAATGGGTCACAAGCTTTGAACTTACTCTCCAATATGACTGGCAGCATTGGATTTCTTAACCTCCTAAAGGGCCTCTGGGCTCCCAGGCTGAGGGTTCTATGAAGAGGACCCAGGCAGAGCCTGGTGAGCTCTCTGAGTGGAGGAGATGGCACTGGAAGTCTAGGGATGCCAGGGCAGCTGGAGTTTGTAGGGCAGGGTACCGGAGAGGAGAAAGCTTCACACAGAAAGAACTTTGCAGAGGGCCCCTTGAGTGTTCAGCTCAATAGTAACGCGTGTGTGGGCGTGAGGAAACTCCCTAAGGTGTGGAGAGAGCCACCTGAGAGGAAGGATTGTAACTGACTGAGCAGCATCAGATATATTGTGTGCATAGAGGTTGAGGGTGTGGGCTGGTGGATTTCTACCAGAAAGTTTCTGTGACAGAAACGGTGCAGTGCTCATCACAGGCACAGGTTCAGGAATAGTGGCTGCTCTCAGCAACCAAAGTGTGAAACCCCATAAATAAGTAGGTGTGGACAGCGTACCCAAATGCGTGTTGTCTTAGTAGCAGGAAAAAGATTAGCCTTAGACCAAACACCGAATGAATTCTGACTAGAAGACCCAAAGGGATCAAACTGTTTCCAAGTAACTTACATTCCTGAGCAGAGGTCAAGAATATTGACAGGAATACAAAAATATCAGACACCCAATGAAATATAGAGAAAAAAACAAAAAACATCACAAGTGACCTTGAGGCTGGGAGCAGTGGCTGATGCCTGTAATCTCAGTACTTTGGGAGGCTGAGGCAGGAGAATCATTTGAAGCCAGGAGCATAAGACCAGACTGGGAAGCAAAACAAGATCCCAACTATGCAATAAATAAATAAGTGACCCAGAAATGACACAGGTGATAGAATTACTAGTCAGGGCCATTAAAACAGTGGCTATAACTATATTCCATCTGTTTGAGAAGCCAGAGGAAAGACTGGCCATGTTAAGTAAAACACAGAATGTAAAAGTCCTAAGTTTGGAATTCTGAGGTTGAAACTACAATGCTGGAAATAAAAATATGCTGAATGAGGTTCATAGCAGATCAGGTATTTCAGAAGAGAAGATCAATTAATCAGACGGGGCGGGGAGAGAGAGACAGAGAGAGAGAGAGAGACAGAGAGAGAGACAGAGAGACAGACACAGAGAGACAGAGAGAGAGACAGAGAGACAGAGACAGAGAGAGACAGAGAGAGAGACAGAGAGAGAGAGAGAGAGATAGGCTGAGCAAAATGAACACTGGATCAATTGTATCAAATTGTTCCAATTGTGGACCAATTTTAAGTGGTGTAGTATATGTGCAATTGGAGTCCCTGAAGGAGAGTACTGGTTGTATAGAAAAAAAGTGAAAAAATAATTGCCAAAATATTTCCAGATTTGATGAAAAGCATATAAACCCACAGACCCAAGATACTCAATGAATCCCAAGCATAACATTAAAAAAAAAAAAAAACTGGCTAGGCATGGTGGCTCATGCCTGTAATCCCAGCACTTTGAGAGGCTGAGGTGGGTGGATCACCTGAGGTCGGGGATTTGAGACTAACGTGGCCAACGCGGTGAAACCCTGGTTCTACTAAAGATACAAAAATTAGCTGGGTGTGGCAACATGCACCTGTAATCCCAGCTATTCGGGAGGCAGAGGCAGGACAATCTTGTGAATCCAGGAGGCAGAGGTTGCAGTGAGCTGAGTTCATGCCACTGCACTCCAGCCTGGGTGACAGAGTGAGACTCCATCTCGAAAGACAAGAGAAAAGAGAAGAGAGAGGAGAGGAGAGGAGAGGAGAGGAGAGGAGAGGAGAGGAGAGGAGAGGAGGAGAAGAAGAGGAGAGGAGAGGAGAGGAGAGGAGAGGAGAGGAGAGGAGAGGAGAGGAGAGGAGAGGAGAGGAGAGGAGAGGAGAGGAGAGGAGAGGAGAGGAGAGGAGAGAAGAAGATAAGGAGCACCTCATAAACAAATTGCTTAAAACCAGTGATTAGAGAAAATCTTCAAGTCCAGATAAAAGGAAACATTAGATATAAAAGCAAAGATAAAGAAGACAGATTTCTCATTAAAAAAAAAAAAAAAAACAAAGTCAGAAGACAGTAGAGTTATGTTTCTAAAGCACAGAAAAAAGAAGAAAAAATTAAAAAAAAACCTCTCAACTCATAATGTTCTACTCAGCAAAAATACCTTTCAAATACTCAGGTGAAATGGAGACTTTTTCAAACATACAAATGCTGAAAGCTCCCATTACCCATAGATGTACAGTGCAAGAGATGTTAGAGAAAGTCCCTCAAACAGAAGGAAAATGACACTAGATGGAAACTTGGAGCTACATGAATAGGTGAAAGGAACTGGAAATGGTAACTATATGAGTAAACATAAACACTGGTTTCTTATTCAATATATTTAAAAGAAAATTCTCTACTTAAACTAAAACAATAACAGTGTATTGCGGGACTTATACATAGAAGTAAAGTGTATATTACCAACAATAGCACAAAGGCCAGGAGGAGAAAAGCGGAAGCATACTGCCATGTGGATTTTATGCTGCACATGAAGTGGAATAGTATTTCCTGACAGCAGAGTGTGATAAAGTAAAGATGTATACTTATAAACCCTGAAGAAATCACGTAACACAACAAAAAGTTATATCTAGTAAGCCGAAAAAGGAGATAAAACGATATCATGAAAAATGTGCTGTATAGAAGAAGCTAGAAAAAGAAGATTAAGAGAACAAAGAATAGATGAACCAGATAGCAAAGGGACAGGAAGATGTCTGCTTTGAATCCAACCATATCAAAATTACATCAAATGTGAATGATCTAAACACCCAATTAGAAACTGTCGGATGGGATTAAAAAAACCAAGATTCAATTACAATTTGCCTAACAAGAAACCCACTTAAAAAACGAAGACACAGATAAGTTAAAAATGAAAGGATGGCCGGGGGTGGTGGCTCAAACCTGTAATCCCAGCACTTTGGGAGGCCAAGGCGGGTGGATCACAAGGTCAGCAGATCGAGACCATCCTGGTCAACATGGTGAAACCCCGTCTCTACTAAAAATACAAAAAATTAGCTGGGCATGGTGGCGCGTGCCTGTAATCCCAGCTACTCAGGAGGCTGAGGCAGGAGAATTGCCTGAACCCAGGAGGCGGAGGTTGCGGTGAGCCGAGATCGCGCCATTGCACTCCAGCCTGGGCAACAAGAGCGAAACTCCATCTCAAAAAAAAAAAGAAAGGATGGTGTGGTATGCAGTGTCTGGTGTGGTTCCCACCGAACTGTATCTTCTGGGATGCATGCCCTTCTCTCCTCTTCTTGAGTGTGGGCAGAACCTTTGATTTGCCACTAACCAATAGACTATGGCAAAGGTGACAGGAGGTGGTTTCTGTGAGGACATTACAGAAGATTATAACTTCTGCCTTGGAAGCAGATTATCTCTATTGTCTTGTCAGCTTGCACGCTTTGATGAAGCAAGTGTCATGTGAGGGAGCCACATGACAGGTGCATCGCTTGTGTCCCTCCGAAATTCATGTTGAAATGTAATTCCCAATGTAATAGTATTAAGAGGTGGGGTCATTAGGAAGTTATTAGGCCCTCATAGATGGGATTAGTGCCATTGTAAAAGGTCTTGAGGGATTAAATTTACCTCTTCTGTTTTTTCTGCCCCTCTGCCTTGTGATAATGCAGCAACACAATGACATCTTGGAAGCAGAGAACGGGCCCTCACCAGACAATGAATCTGCTGGCACCTTGATCTTGGACTTCCCAGCCTCCAAACTGTGAGAAATAAATTTTTATTATTTATAAATGACAGTCTTAGGCAACAAGGAACTGAGGATGGCCTTCAACCAACGGTTGGCAATGAACTGAGATTCTCGGTCAAATAGACTTTGATGAACTGAATTCCACCAATAACCATATAAGCTTGGCAGCAGATTCTTTCCCAGTTGATGCTTCAGATGAGACTCTAGGCCTTGTTGTTATCTACATTGGACTCAGACCCGTGAGAGAACTGGGAGCAGAAGACCCAGCTAAGACATGCCCGAACTCTTGACCCATAGAAACTGTGAGATAATACGCATATTGTTTTAAGTCTCTAAATGTATGCTAATTTGTTACAAAGCAATAGATTCAGGTAGAAAAAGGTATTCCATGCTAACACTAATCAAAAGAAAGCTGTGTTGATATCAGACTAACTAGTATCAACAAAGTAGATTTTAAACCAAATGAAAATATATATATATATATATATATATTGATATTTTTGAGACAGAGTATCAATGTGTCACTCAGGATAGAGTGCAGTGGTGTCATAATGGCTCACTGTGGCCTTGGACTCCTGGGCTCAAGTGATCCTCCTGCATCAGCCTCTGGAGTAGCTGGGACTACATGTATGCACCATCAACCCTGGCTAAGGGTTCTTGGTGTGTTTCTCAGGCTGGTCTCAAACTCCTGGCCTCAAGCAATCCTCCAGTCTTGGCCTCCCAAAGTGCTGGTATTACAGGTGTGAGCCACTGCACCTGGCCTAAACCAAAGAGTATTACTAAAGATAAATAATTGCATAATGACAAAAAAGTCAGTTCTTCAAAAGGACAGAATAATGCTAAGCATTTATGTATGTAATCATAGAACTTCAAATTTCTTAAAACAAAAACTGATAGAACTGCAAAGAGAAACAGACAAATCCACAATTATACTTAGAGTTCAACACTCTTCTTTCAATGACTTGTAAAACGAGTCCAGTGAAAATCAGCAAGGATATAGAAATTTTAAACAACACTGTTCGGCAACTTGATTTAATTGACATTTATAGAATGCCCCATTGAACTACTGCAGAGTATACATTCTTTTCTAGTACACATGAAACATTTACCAAGATATAGCATGTCTTGGATCATAAAACAAATCTCAGTAAATTTAAAAGGGAGTAAAATCATACAAAGTAAATTCTTTAGTTACAATGGAATTAAATTAGAAATCAATAATAGATACCTGGAAAATCCCTACATATTTGAAAACTAAATAACGTACTTCTATATAACTCATGATCCAAAAAAATTAGAAAGCATTTAAAACCGATTGAAAGTAAAAACACATATATTAAAATTTGTGGGATTCAGCTAAAATAGTATGTAGTGAGACATATCTAGCACTAAAAGCCTATATTAAAAAATATGAAAGTTCCTGAATCAATGATGTTAACTTCCACCTTAAGAAATGAGAAAAGAAGAGCCAATGAAACGCAATGCAAGCAAAGAAAGAATAATAGAGCTTAGAGTGGAAATCAATGAAATAGACAAACAACAGAGAAAAACAATGAAACCAAAAGCAAGACTGATTGGGGGAAAAAAAGACAAATGCTAGTATCTTTTTTTCTAGTATCTATCATCATAGAGAGGTGATATTGCTATGGAATCTACAGCTCTTAAAAAGCCAATAAGGAAAAACTTCATGGTAATAAGTTTACCAACTTAGCTGAAAGAGGTCAATCTCTTAGAAAATACAAACTATTAAAGCTCACTCAAAAAAACAAACAAAAAAAGAAAGAATCTGAGTAGCCCTATAGCTAGTAAAGAAATTAAATTCACAGTTAAAAACCTTATCACAAAAAGACTCCATATCCAGATGGCTTTACTGATGAATTCCACCCAACATTTCAGGAAGAAATAATAATTTTACACAAGGTCTTCCAGAAAATAGAAGAGGAGGAAATACTTCTCAAATTATTTTTGAGGCCAGCATCACTCTGATAGCAATACCAGACAAAGATATTACAAGAAAATAAAACTACTGTCCAATATTTTTCAAGAACATAGATGAAGATATTAAATATTTTTTTTCAGCAAATCAAACCCAACAATATATAAATAAGGATAACTCCTCATGACCAAGTGTGGTTTATCCCAGGAATGCAAAGTTGGTTTAACATTTGGAAATTAATCAATATAAATCACTGTATTAACAGACAAAATGTACACCACATGATCGTCTCCATATATGTAGAAAAAGCACTTGAGAAAATTCAGTATTAATTCGTTCATAATACAAACTGTCAGCAAACTAGAAACAGAAGAAGCTCTCTATCTCTGGAAAAAGGAATCTGTACAATTTTACAGCTAATGTTGTACTTAGTGGTAAATTAATACTTAGGATCAGGAACAAGAAAAACTGTCTGCTCTCATCACTTTTATTCAGCATTGCACTGGAGGCTCTAACCGGCGCAATAAAACAAGAAAAGGCAATAAAAGGCACCTAGATTGCAGAAGAAGTAAAATTGTATTTATTTGTAAATGGCATGATTGCTTCCAAGAAATCCTATGGAATTCTACTATAACACTTAGTGAGTTTAGAAGGGTTATAGGATACAAGGCTAATATACAAAAATAAATTAGTATAAATTTTATAAAGGAGCTACACATAATCAGAAATGGAAATTTAAATATACAATTGAAAGCAGTATCAAAAAGTGAAATAATTAGGGATAAGTCTTACAAAATACATGCAAGCCCTGTACGTTAAAACTATAAAACACAGCTGAGAAAAATTAAGGAAGAAATAAATAAATGGAGGAATATATTGTATGCATGATTTGGAAGCCTCAATACTTTTATTTTTATTTTTCTCCAAATTGATTTATAGATTCACGGTAACCCCAGTCAAAATACAGCAGGCTATGTTGTAGAAATGGACGAACTGAATCTAAAATTCATCTGGAAATGCAAAGGAGCTAGAATAGCCAAAAACCACCTCGAGAAAGAAGAACAATGCTTGAAAACTTATACTATCTGACTTCAAAATTTATTATAAAGTTACAATATTCAAGACAGTATGGTATTGGTGTTAAAATAGGGAAATAGAGCAATGAAACAGAGTAGAGATGAAGGGGGATGGCTTTACGGTCACAGCCTGGTGACCTTGCACATATCCACATAGGCCACAAAGCAAAACTGGAACCACTACTGAATCTACATCTTGGCAGAACCCCTGAATGCTCCTGGATTGGAAGCTTGTAAGGAGTTACTATAAGGCCCTTGCCCCCTCCCTGGCTGTGTCCCCTAGGAGGCTGCCATGAGACAGTTTCTCAATGCCTTCTGGATTCTGAGGAGGCAGGGAGCTTCCTGCTCCAGCCCCTTCAGAATAGAGATACAGACTATGAACCTCTCATCTCAGATCTAGGCATGGCTGCTCAGCAATGGGGTATCCTTCAACTTGTGTTGACATCATCCAGCCCCTTTTGCCTTGGTGTTATCCTTCTTGGTGTGTGGGACAAAGACCATAAGGAGCCAACACCACTGGCTACTCTTCCTTTCACTCTTTTTTTTTTTTTGAGACAGAGTCTCCCTGTGTTGCCAGGCTGAAGTGCAGTGGCCCTATCTAGGCTCACTGCAGCCCCCACCTCCCTGGTTCTAGCGATTCTCCTGTCTCAGCCTCCCGAGTCTAATTTTTATATTTTTAGTAGACGGGATTTCACCATGTTGGCCAGGATGGTCTCAATCTGTTGACATTGTGATCCACCTACTGTGGCCTCCCAAGTGCTGGGCCTTCCTTTCATTCTTTATGTAATAAAGTGGCTCCTCATATCTTCACCAGGTGAGTCAGTCAGACCTTGCCCTGTTTTGCACATGCTTGACAAGAGATCCCAGAAATAAACTCATGCATATACAGTCCATTAATTTTTGACAAAAGTCAAAGACGATTTGGTGGAAAAAGGAAGGGTTTAGTTACATAAATACTTATGATTTTTGACTAACAGTGCTGGAACTATAGGATATCCATATGCAAAAATAAAAAGCTTTAATCCATACTTCACATCAAATTCAGAAATGAACTCAAAATGGATCACAGACTTAAATGTAAAATGCAGAGTTATGAAATTTCTAGAAGAAAATGTGAGAGAAAATCTGTATGACCTTGGGTTAGGCAAAGATGTTTTTAGATACCATAACCCAACACAATCCTTAAAAGACGAAAAAATGGATAAACTGGACTCCATAAAAATTAAGGACTGGATAAAACAGCCAGTTAACATCAAATGGCAGTAACCCTAAATTTAAATCGACTAAATCCCCCAATCAAAAGACACAGCCAAAACCCAACGGTATGTTACATCCAGACCTGTTTCACATGCAAGGATACACAAAGACTCAAAACAAAGGGATGGAGAAAGATTTACCAACCAAATGGAGAGCAAAAATAAATAAATAAATAAATAAATAAAAAGCAGGAGTTGCAATTCTCGTATCATATAAAATAGATTTTAAAGCAACAAAGATATAGTGGTAAAAGGATCAATGCAACAACAACAGCTAACGATCCTAACACCCAGGTACATAGAGACTTAGATTCAATGAGACAGAAAATTAATAAGGATATCAAGGACTTGAACTCAGATCCGGAACAAGTAAACTTAATAAACATTTATAGAGCTCTCCACTTCAAATACACAAAATATACATTCTTGTCAATACCACATCACACCTACTCATAGGTTTAAATGAAACATTGATTGGCCATTATTAATACCCATTTTTTTCAGAATAAAGCAATATTTCCATTCACCCTCCCTCTTTCTCTTCCTCTTTCTCCCTCTCCTTTTTTTTTCTTTCCTTCTCTCAAAAAAAAAAAAAAGAAAAAGAAAAAAAAAAGAAAAAGAATAATAAAATAAAAAAGAAATCAACTTGTAAACCTCTAGATCCAGGTCAGCAATATCTCTCTCATTGCTTGATTTCCTTCCTTCCCTTCCCTCCCTCCCTCCCCCTTTCCTCCCTTCCTTCCTTCCTTCATCCCTTCCTTCCTCCCTCCCTTCCTCCTTCCCTCCCTTCCTGCCTTCCTCCCTTCCTCCCTTCCTCCTTCCCTCTCCTGCCTTCCTCCCTTCCTCCCCCCCCCAAAAAATTAAGGACCTCTGTTTTTCAAAAGATATTGTTAAGAGAATAAAATCTAAGCCAGAGACTGGCAGGTGATACTTATAAATCACTTATCTCACAAGAGACTTGTATCTAGAATATCCCAAGAAACCTCAAAATTAAATTAGAAAACAAACAACCCAATTTTAAAAATGGGCAAAAGGTTTGAACAGACGCTTTACCAAAGAAGACATAGTCATGTACCTTATAATGATGGTTTTGGTCAACAACAGACCACATATACAATAGTGGTCCCATAAGATTATACTGTACCTTTTCTATGTTTAGATACACAAATACTTCCCGTTGTGTTACAGTTCCCTGCAGCATTCAGTACAGTGGCATACTGTCCAGGTTTGTAGCCTGGGAGCAAGAGGCTAAACCACATAGCCTAGGTGGGCAGTAGGCTATGCCATCCTGGTTCATGTAAGTACACCCTATGTTTACACAATGATGAAATGACACATTTCTGAGAATGCATCCCCGTTAAGTGACATGACTGTATGTGGGTGGCAAGTAAGTTCATGAAACAATGCTCAACATCACTAGTTACCAGGGAAATGAAAATCAAAACTCTAACGAGATATGTCTACACACCTATTATAATGTGTATAATTAAGGCCTGACCATCCCATGTATTGGTGGAGCAACTGGAATACAGAGACTTTGATGGTGGGGATGTGAAATGGTACAGCTTTCAAACTAGTGGAGCCATTTCTTAAATAGTTATTGTTTTTTTGAGACAGGGTGTCAACTCTTATCACCCAGGCGGGAGTGCAGTGGCATGAACATGGCTTACTCCTGGGCTCAAGTGATCCTCCCACCTCATCCCCTTAAGTAGCTGGGCTGCATGCCACCCTGTCTAGCTAACTTTTGTATTTTTTGTAGAGATGGGGTTTTGCTGTGTTGCTCAGGCTGGTCTTGAACTCCTGGACTCAAGTAATCTGCCTGTCTTGGCCTCCCAAAGTGCTGGAATTACCGGTGTGAGCACTGCACCCAGCCTAACAGTTATGTTTTTAATCATATTATATGACCTAGCCATTCCAATCCTAGGTATTTATTCAAAAGACAGAAAAGCATATGGCTGTTCAAAGGCTGGCACACCAATGTTCATGGTAACTTTGTAAAAGACCCAAACTGGAAACAATCAAATGTCTCCCAACTTATGAGTGGATGAACACACTGTGGTTCATCCATACCATAAAACGCTACTCAGGAATAAAAAGGAATGAGCTATGATACACACAGAAACACAGATGAATCTCAAAATAGTATGTTGAGTGAGAGAAGCCAGATAAAAGACAGCAGATTCCATTTATACAAAATTCTAGAAAACGCAGACGAAGCAAAGTGATAGAAAGCAGATGCTAGGGGTGGAGGAGGAGGAACGGGCCCTGGGAGGGAGAACAGTGGGCACAGTGAGGCCCCAGGGGAATGACAAGTATCCTCCGTCCATGGACGGTGGGATTTTGCATAAGTATATAAATCTGTGCAGTTTATCAGATTGTACACCTGAAACACGTGCAGCTTGCTGAATGCCAGTCACACCTCAGTAAAGCTGCTTTTAGAGAACGTTGCAAGGACCTTGTTTCCTTCCTCATTCAAGACTGGTGCCGGTCCAGGTGGCCCTCTGAGTTCCCCATCTGGGCTCAGCTGATCTTTCTCAGGTGGGGCCCCTGCTGAGCGCCCGGCAGCCCCGCCTGCCTGCGTTGCTGCCCCTGCTGGGCGGGACAAACGGGCAGCTTGGACGGTCGCTGCAAAAGTAGCAAAGGCCATGCGGTTTCTGAGAGCCGCGCGGGTTCCCAGCACTAAACGTGGGAGACTTAATCTCCCCCAGAGACAGAAGGCCACGCAATGACAACTCCAAGGCCAGGGGCCGGAGCATTTTGACTAATAGAAATGTCAGGATGACACCATGCAAGCCGAGAAACCCCAACACGAGTCCTGTGCCAAGACTCGTGGCTCCGCTGCCTCTCCGGTACCCGGGGCACCCGCTGGGAGGATGCTCTCCAGGGACGGGGGCTGCGGGACCCCCGGACCCCGCGCCCGGGCGCGAACTGGCTGCGCGGCCGCTGGGCCTCCCTAGAGGCTGGCACAGCTCCGCTTCCGTGCGGGCCTGGAAGCCCAGCCCGAGGAGCTAACCGTTCATGTCACACTGTGACAATTATTCTGCATAAAATTATCATTAAAAACCCTAATTTTTCAGCCTCCAACCCTGCCAGTGGCCTTTTAGCATCCCCGGCGCCGGCGGCTGCGGCCGTGATCACCGCGCTCATTACCTCGGCGTGGCGCCTCCCGCGCGCGCTCGCAATCAAGCGCTAATTAAACCCGTCGGGGCCCGGGCCGGGGCGTGGGGCGAGGGCCGGGAGTGCCGGGTCTGGGGTCCCGGGTCAGGGGCCTTGGATCTGGCTCCGGAGGCCAGCGCCAGAGTAGGGACGGGGCGGAACTGGGCCTGGGGACCGGCGGCCATGGGCGGGCCAGGGTGCAGGGGCTGGGACGGAGACGGGGTCGGGGTCTGGGTGGGGGGGTCTGGTCTTGGGGCGGGGCGGGGCTGCGGGCCTGACCCCCGGTCCTTACCCGAGCGAGGCGGCGGAGCGGCAGAGGTGCAGAGGCGCCAGGCCCTCGGCGCTGAGCAGGTCGGGGTCGGCGCGGTGCCGCAGCAGCAGGCGGGCGCAGGCCGTGTGGGCCCCGAGGCAGGCTTCGTGCAGGGCGCCGCGGCCGCCGGGGCTGGCGTCGGGGTCCGCGCCGCGGCCGAGCAGGTGTCGCACGCAGGCTGTGTGGCCGTGGGCCGCGGCGATGCACAGGGGCGTGGTGAGCTCGCGCTTGTACTCCAGGGTCCAGAGGCCTGCGGGGAGGGAGCGGGGATGTCAGGACGCGGGGAGGATCGAGGGGGTGATAGTGGGCCGTGTTCATTAAGGCAGAAAGAAGGAGAAGCCGTCTATGCCAGGTCGGTACCAGGTGGGTGTGTACGGCGAAGAGGATAGAATCAGAGACACACACAGAGACAGAGAGCAGAGAGACACTGGGAGGAGACAGGCGGAGACAGAGGAAGAAGTAAAAAGGAGAGATTGAAAAGCCTACAACTGAGCCAGAAAAATGGGGCGCCAGGAGCTAAGCAGCAGCACGGTTTTGCCAAATACGGGGTGACTGGGAAATGGGGTCAGTTAAAAGCTGTCCAAGCACGGTGCGCGGTAGGCGAATTTAAGTGAGGAATTCACATGTTCCAGGACCTGAGTTAGGGGCAGTTTGAAAGAGGAAAGTGGGTTGTGGAATTTTCCCGAATCCAGTCCTCCCTTCGCTGAGCCCCAAACTTGTCCTTTATCATTAAGAAGAGACAACAGACAAAATAAACTGACCCACGCATCACCAAGGTTGTTCAAGACAAGGACTCAGAGAAAGTTCAGCTGTCTTGCCAGTGGCTGCGTTTTCAGATCACTCTTTGATGTGGCGGTCCACATTCAGCACAATCCTGGTTTGTTTCTTTGCGCTTTTTAGGGGTGTGTGTGTGTGTGTGTGTGTGTGTGTAGGGTTGCTCTTTCTTGAGTGATGAATGGAGCAGGTGCTATACATTTTTACTTCTCTGAAAACTTTGGCACTTTCAAAAAGCCTGTAGATGGTTGTTAGCGGCCAGGAGCACTAGTGGAAATGGGGGACATAGTCCCTGGTGAATACACATCAAGGGGCAGGATTTCACATGGCAGGAAGGCCTCTGATAATGATGGAAGAATCGATACCATGGCTGTAATGAGCCGCAGAGGAGACCCTTTTCACAGGCCACCTCCTTCCCGGGACCCATGCTGAGCAGCCTTGAAAGCTCATTCATTAATTACCTACCTGCATGTGGTGCAGAGTTCCAGCCGCTCTGAGTCCCCAAGGCCCAGTCTGGAGCTTGTTGTGAACTCAGTGGGGGAAGGGGGACAGTGGGACTGCTGTGGAATGGTTGTGGCCAGAGGCCCCGTGGACAGGGAGTCTCATGGGTCGGGGCTGCCCTTCCCAGTGAAGCCCAGGTCCGATCTGGAGGGGGTGATGGATGTAGGCTATCTACATTGTTAGCCACATGATGATAATAACCTACATTCCTGCAGGCACCAGCTCTTGGTTTTTTGATTCAGCTCATTTTTCTGAGAGATGAAGGCTACTTACTGCCTTCTTTGGGGAATGAAAGTCCCCAACCCAGCCCCACCCTCCCCTAGCAGCTCAGTAAACCCACCCTGGATTCCTGAGTCTTCCCAGAGACTGATGGGAAGAAGCCGTAGGTGGGCACCTAGCTCAGGCATAGCGTGGGCCAGCACCATCTCCAGGTCCTTGGAGATTCGGGCAGGAAGCCTAAAATCAGCTTTCTGTAACTCCAACCCTCTGGTTTCAGTTCTGACACCAGGAGGGACATGGATTAAGGCTTCTCTGCATGTTGTAGGTCCCCCTAAGCATCAGCTCCCCCAAGCCAGCAGTTCTCTCCATGACTGTGGGCTGGATGGACCAGCATTCCACCACAGAGGGGCACCGAGGTGCTGACCACTGGGGACTGGCTCCGTGTACTCAGACAGATCCCTTCCCACCAGGGGAGCTGGAATTGGCCACCGGGAAGTCTTTTCACCAGAGCGGGTAGAACACATGGGGCCGCTGTTTTCAAACAGGGTCTGTTTGTTTCTGCTGCTGGACCTGCTGCAGGGCAGTCAGGAATTCACTCACATGTTGCAGTGGAAGGCAGCCTGAGCGCTCCTTCCCCCTCTTTCCAGCCTGCCTGGAGGCCCCAGGCCGATACTTAGTGTTGGGGCTGCGATTTCCTCAGTACCAGCCACATCCCTTCACTGTGGGCACGCTCCAGCATCCTGTCGTCCAGGTGTGCCACAGAACAGGAGAAGAACTCAGGGGTGGGAAGATTCAGGAGGGAAAGAGGAACCTGATTGTGATACAGACAATGTGCAAATAATGGGTGAACATGGCTGTCTGTTTGAAACTGTGACATTTGCGTATGTGTATGTCCAGGGTTGCAGTTGGCATTTTTGGTCTGGGACAGGCAAGGGAGAGGAGGCCCAGAAGGGCTCAGCTGGGACGTGCAGCCCCAGCTGGAACTGCCGTTTCCCTTTCCTGCAGCCCCCACCGCCTCCCTGGTTGGCAGGAGCTGCTCGGCCCTCTGACAGTGTTTTGAGTTTATTCCCTTCTCCCCATGTGAGGTATAAACAGAACTGTGTTGGAAGCCGACCTTCTGCATTCTTCGCCTGCCAGAGCTCAAGAGTCAGGAACATGGGACACTGGCCACCAGCCACTGACCCCAGAATCTCAAACACCATGGTCTGGCAGAACTGCTATAGATTTCAACACATGAACCTTCTTGGTAAACGTGCTGCATCTGAGCCTGTGGTCGGTGGGGTGCCCAAAGCAGAGTGCCAGCCGAGAAAGCCCCAGAGGCAGCCTGGTGGGCAGCGAGTGTCTGCACATCCTGAGTGGGCGGGGAAGGAGGGGACCTCTCTCCACTTGGGAGGTCTGCTTGCCTGCCCGGCTCACAGTGACCGTGTTCAGGCAGCAAGGGTACCTGCAGACATGTACGAAGTCGGGACCTCTGGTTTCTTCCCCTTTCCTTCCCCATTCTTGGGCTTCCCCGGATTTCAGGAGGAGGATCTACAGAGAGCCCTGGGGTCCTGCCCCTACTAATGCTGGCTGTGCCCTGGTCACCCTGCTGCAGTTGTGGCATTTGCAAATTCATAGAAGGACCTCACACAAAGCTGTGTGCCAGAGGCTGCTCCAAGTGCAATCAAAGGAGAGACTTTCCTTTTCCAGCACCCACCTCCCTGGCTGCCAGATGCAGTACGGGCAGCTCTGCACCCAACCCGACGCTCCTCTGTAAAGACAAGAGGCACGCCCAGCATCATCAGACAGCCGTTCCCACCAGTCGCTGCTTTGCCTTTCCAGTGGGATCTCCTACATGCCATCACCTAAAACCTACACTTCAAAACCACTGCAGAGCAAATTTCATCTGAGGTCCTTTTCTCATGTATGTTAAACCCAGGGCCACTGTGCCCAGTCTACACACAGGAGCCTTACGTTCCAGGAGAGTATTAGTAGCCCTTAAAAAATAAATGAGCTTTAAAGAACAAGGGTACCTGACAGTCCAAACGTGGCTGGAGATTTCACCTGCCATTCCATCTCATCCGTATTGATCTCAAACACCACGTTGGCATCCCGGAAGAACTGGTCCATGAGAGGCTGAAGATGGTCCAGGTCTCCTGCCACCAGGGCAGTGTGGTACTCCAGCACTGGGGACCCTGCTGTAGCTTGAGGCTCCTTCTCCATCTTTTGAAAGATTTGAAGTTTTCCTCTCTCTGGCCCTGGCTGTCTCTCCATTTGCAATGCCGTTGATTTCAGAACAGTTCTTCAGGAACGGGAAAGATGGTCTTATGGAGTGTGAGCTATTTCTATTGTCATTACTCAATTGTCATCCAGTTGGGGCTCAATGGTGGTGTATTTATAACTCCTGTGGGCTCCGATGTGATAAAGGTTACTTGATATGACCAGGAGCATGTGACCACCGGGATGCCACAGCGCTCAGCCACCCACTTTGTGATGATATAGATGTGTCCGGAGACAGACATCTGGATAGCTCCAAAGCAGCTCTCCATGCACTGAGGGCAGACTCCCAGCGCACATTTAACTGTGATGGACCCTTTATCCTGCTGTTGGGCAGATGATTCCCCAGTCTTAAATAGCATTGCATTCACCTGTTTGTGTGGAGTAAGTGACTCGCTTATAAATCTGACTTTAGTGACCAGATACTTAGCAAATAAGTAATATCCTCTCAGTTTAAAAAAAAGTACCATATTTAGAATCTGTAAATAAAAGTCTTAAACTCAGAGGAAAGAGACAAGTATTTATGAAGCACCCAGTTGTACGCCAGGTGCTTTTTAAGTATTACGATATTTACTCCCAATAACAACCACATGAAGGAAATAGCGTGGTCACCGCCGCTCAGCAAGTTAGTGGCTGTGTTGTCATTGGAACCCATGTGCATCTGTCTCCAGAGTCTGTCCTCTGTCCACCACGCCACTCAGGTGGCTTCCAGTTGCATCAGGCAGGACCTACTCAGAACTGGGCCAGCGCTGTCAGGAGCCATTTTCCAGAGAGGGCTCTTGGCCGCCCAGGATTTAGTTTCTCTCCAAGCGAAGGCGGTGGCAGGTAGCAGGACCTACTCTCGGGTTGACAGGGCTGCAAGGGTCTGTCTGCCGTCACTGCCTGGTGCTCTCCACTCCCAGCTCTTGTATGGTTTGGGTGCTACAAATGGTTTCTACTTTTTTTTTTTTTTGAGACAGAGTTTCATTCTTTTGTCCAGGCTGGAGTACAGTGGCACAATCTTGGCTCACTGCAACCTCTGTCTTCCGATTTTAAGGGATTCTCCTGCCCCAGTCTTCCAAGTAGCTGGGATTACAGGCACATGTCATCACGTCTAGCTAAATTTTGTATTTTTAGTAGAGACAGGGTTTCACCATGTTGGCCAGGCTGGTCTCCAACTCCTGACCTCATGATGCGCCTGTCTTGGCTTCCCAAAGTGCTGGGATTACAGGTGTGAGCCACCTCACCCGGCTGGTTTCTATATTTATCAATAGTTGGGAAAAATCAAAAGAAGAAGAAGATTTCATGATAGGTGAAAGTACATGAATTCAAATTTCACTGCCCATAAGTAAATTTACCGGGAGCCCCACCATGCTCATACATTTACATATGCTCTTGAGTTTATGACGGCAGAGCTCAGTCGTGGTTACAGTGACTGTATTCCCTGCAAAGATGGAATGTTTATTATCCAGCCCCTCATGGGAAAAGTCGGCCTCTGCTCTGGAAGTTAAGACTTAACCACAGCCAATTCTTGCTAATAAGTAGTTACTGGCTGGGCACGGTGGCTCACACCTATAATCCCGGCATTTTTTTTTTTCGTCTTTTTGAGACGGAGTCTTGCTCTGTCACCCAGGCTGGAGTGCGGTGGTGCCATCTCCACTCACTGCAATCTTTGCAGTAATATCCTCTCAGGTTTAAAAAAAAGTACCATATTTAAAATCAGCTCCCCCAAGCCAGCAGTGCTCTCCATGACTGTGGGCTGGATGGACCAGCGTTCCACCAGAGAGGAGCACCGAGGTGCTGACCACTGGGGACTGGCTCCTTGTACTCAGACAGATCCTTTGCCTTCTGGGTTCAGGTGATTCTCCTGCCTCAGCCTCTCGTGTAGCTGGGATTACAGGCACGCACCACCATGCCCTGCTGATTTTCTTTTGAGTGTGTCTGTATTTTCAGTAGAGATGGGGTTTCATCATTTTGGCCAGACTAGTCTCAAACTCTTGCTTTCAAGTGATCTGCCCACCTCAGTCTCCCAAAGTGCTGGGATTACAGGCATGAGCCACCTTGTCTGGACAATTCCAGCACTTTGGGAGGTCAAGGTAGGAGGATTGGTTGAGTCCAGGAGTTTGAGACCAGGCAGATAGCAAGACTTCCTCTATCTCTCTAAAAAAATAAAAAATTAGCTGGACATAGTGCTGTGCACCTGCAGTCCCAGTTACTCGGGGGGCTAAGGTGGGAGGATCAGTAGAGCTTGGGATTGTGCCACTGTACTCCAGGTTGGACAGTGGAGTGAGACCCTGTCTCCAAAAAAAAAAAAAGTACTACCTAAAATAAGTGAGGCTTCTCTTTCTTGCTTTGAAGAATGTCTTTTTGCTTTTTATCCCATCCATGTTCTCTGTTGCAATGACCAGTGATGAGCAGATGTGTGTTTCAAGGGCTGTGGCCACTCCGAGGATGTGTGAGGGAGGCCCCATTGGACACTGCCAATGCCCAGGTTCTCACATTCAGGCTGGAGTGTAGTGGTGTGATCTATGCTCACTGCAACCTCTGCCTCCAGGGTTCAACTGGTTCTCTTGCCTCAGCTTCCTGAGTAGCTGGGATTACAGGTATTTGCCACCACACCCAGCTAATTTTTGTATGTTTAGTAGAGGCAGGGTTTCACCATGTCGGCTAGGATGGTCTCAAACTCCTGACCTCAGGTGAACCATCCACTTTGGCCTCTCAAAATGCTGGGATTACAGGTGTGAGCCACCACGCCTAGACTGTCTCTCCCTCCCTCCCCTCTTTCCTTCCTTCCTTCCACTTCTCTTTCTCTTTCTCTCTTTCTCCCTTTCTTTCTTTTTCTTTATTTCTTTCTTTCTTTTTTCTTTCTCTCTCTTTCTCTCTCTCTTTCTTTCTTTCTCTCTCTCTCTCTCCCTCTTTCTCTCTTTCTTTCTGTTTTTCCCCACCAGGAAGTTGGAATGAGCCAAGGACAGTGGGCTACAGAATCCTTTGGCCTGTGCACAACACAAACCACGTGAGCAGAGGCTGGAGGGAGGTGAAAGGCTCAGGAGAGCTTTGCCTGGATGAGTAGAGAGAGAGAAGGCTAGTGGAGCAGTGCCAGGAGGGCTAAGCAGGCCCTCGCCTAGGGAGGTAGGAATAGCATAAGCCCCCATTTGCTCATGTCCAGTGTTTGACCTGGGGACCGATGGGATCCGGTCCCCACGTGGTATTGCAACCGGGAAGCAACTGCAGAGAAACAACAGGGAAAAAGATGTGAAATCAAGGAATAGAGCTCACCGGGCTGTGCATCCCTGGTCACACTCAAACTTCTTAAGCCTCCTCTTATCCTATTTCTTCTCTCTCAGTCTTCTCTGCACACAAAGGCTGCCCTGTGACTCCCCCTAACCCTTGCTAAGTGCCCCCCGACCTCTGAGTGTCCAGCCAGAGCAGGCTTTCTGTGTGGGCTCTTTATTTGGAAGAGTAGCCTGGCTTCTGGGTTGCCCCTTTCACCCAGATCTTCTACAATGAAGGGGTGCCCAGCAAAGGGAGAGCTTTGATTTTCCTTAGAAGAGATTGCAGCAAAGGGTGGAGTAGAAACCACACACATTTATAGCTTGATATCGATGTGTTCTGACCCTGGCTGTAGAACCCTTGATCTGACCCTAGTTACAGGCATGAGTTTATGTGCATGGGCTGACCCAAGGCCTGGAGGTTTACCCCGTGATAAAACCCACCTCTCTTCTTCTACAGAGGAGGGCAGCAGGAGTGCTGGGTGGGGAGGGACGAGGCCATGTCTGGCCATCTATGATGCAGGGGGATAAGGGGCAGGGGCTGTGCTGTGAAAGCTGAGGGGCTCACACGGGTGAGAGTTAGCCTCGGCTGGGTGTTTGGAGAGACTTGGCCATGACCCAAGTTGGCTGCTACAGGGGCCATGGGTTTATCTTTTACCATGTTTGTCTGACCTCTGGGTGGAGGCTCAGTTCTGAGGCTGCAGAAGGGCCCATGAGGCTTAGCTCTTGGGGGTCAGGGACAGCTGCACTGGGGGCTGCTGCTCCCTGGACATCCACTGCTACTGACTCTGTGTCAGGTGTCTCCCTGCAGGTGGATACCCTTGATGTCATTTGCAGATGAGGAAACTGGGACTCACAGACTCACTTACCTTTCTCAAGGCTTCTCAATCCTGGCATAGCCAATGCCCAAGGGCTTCCTATGTTGCCCTCACTGTCGTCCCTAGAGCATGCCACACCTGAGCACGGGGATCTGCAGTCCCCTGACCGTGCCTTCATCTCTCCAGGTCTGTACAGGCTGTTCCTTCTGCCTACGGTCCTTCTTTTTCCCTCCTTGCCTGGCCTGCCTCATTCATCCTCCAACAGGGCTTAGCCTCCCCTGACCTCCAAGACCAGTCCTGATGTCTGTCCTTGCACCCTGACGGTGGCACTGGGCACTCCGCTATTACTGCTGGGTCCTAGTCTGTGTCCTGCTTCACCATGATCTTTTTGAGGGATGGTGGGAGCTGCTTCTTCCTCTTTGGAAAGCTCTCCATGCCCTGCAGTGTTCCACACACAAGGTCTTCAATGCAAATGGTGGAGAGAAAGAATGGACTGGACTCTTTGAAATGTGCTCAACATTAAAATTCCTCAGTGGTTCTTGCTCTCATTCTTGGCCATCTGTTGCCTTTGCCCTTAGGGAAGAACGCCGTAGTAACATGGGTGCTCAGCTGGACTAGGGCAGGTCTCAGGTGCTCAGGGTAAGGACCTGCCTCAGATCTGTGGGCCTCACTGCACAGCCCACTTTACCCCACCAGTAGAGACCTCTACAGGTGTTGTAAGAAGACCTGGGCCAGCGCGGTAGCTCATGTCTATGATCCCAGCACTTTGGGAAGTCTAGGCAGACAGATCACTTGAGGTCAGGAGTTCAAGAC